TCCGGTTATCTATGCCATTCTATCATAGGCTTAGTAAATTAATCCCTCTCCCTGGTTAGGGTTAAGGGCTGTTGGGTTAGGTGGATGTTGGGTGATTGTAGAGATAAATGTTACCAGCCTAACCACTACAGGTATGTTCAGAGTATTGCAGTGTAAATACAGCATAAGTAAACACAGATGGCTGAGGCTTCATTTAACTTCTTTATAAACATATAAAGTAAATTTTACAATACCAGTCAGCAAGTAAGTCATACAGCAGAGGAGAGAAGCAGTTTCGTTTTCAATAGACAGACTCAGAGCTTAAACATAGCTTCAGAGCTGCAGAGCTTAATATAGAGCCACGCCTAGGCTACTTCCAGTTTCAGTTTCCAAACAATCCTCATTGGCTGACTTAGTTGCTATGCCTATTCATTGGCTGATCTTGTTAACATGCTCTATTCCAGTTCATGAATATACTCTGACAAGATAGTCCTTCGCTTACAACCACAATTGAGCTCAAAATTTCTGTTGCTAAGCAATACAGCTGTTAAGCATGCTTTGCCTCATTTTACAACATTTCTTGCCACAGTTGTTAAGTGAATGGCTGCAATTGTTAAGTAAGTAACTCAGTTGTTATGTGAATCTGGATTCCCCATTGACTTTGATTGTCAGAAGGCTACAAAAGGTGATCACTGTCAGGGTTCCAGCAGTCATTCCAATTAAATCATGAGCCTTGAGCCACACTCCCAAAACTAAAAAGGATTTATTTGAAGGTAACGTTCTACGTCTGGCACTAATCTGGGTGCAGCCAACTCTGAGATATGTAATTCACTGTCACCCATTATCCTGCTCCCCCCACCACCACTCTGGGTGTGTCATCCAATGAAAAAATGTCCATAGCCAAGAGTCATCAATCATGCTCTCCAATTAGATTTTTTCATGGCAGAAGCTTCAGCCATCTAATCAGTCTTAGAAGAAAATATGAATGGAATGTACCTTCGATTTCACCCTGTTGCCTGCTCTTTGAAACTCCCCCAATTCTTTCTGTTGTCAACTATAAAAACGTGTATACAAAATGTTTTATGGGTTGGCAATCACATGACCCCAGGACACTGCAACCTTCATAAATATATACCAATTGCCAAGTGTCTGAATTTTGATCACATAACACTGAGGATCCAGCAATGGTAGGAAGTGTGAAAAATGGTTGTAAGTCACTGTTTTCAGTGCTGTTGTAACTTTGAATGGTCCACAAATGGTGGTAAGAAAAGTTCTGAGTGTGTTAATTCCTCTGTTCCTTCACCTTATTTGTTCCCTTTTCTCTCTTCTGTTTCCCTCAAACTTGCCTCTGCCGCAAATGTTATTTCTAGTCTTGTCATTGGAACAATAACGGATCAGGTTGGGGAAAGGTCATTCTGGAGAAAACTTATATAGTCAATAAAACTTTGGTTTGGTTTGGTGGCTGACATGCCTCAGATAGAAGGTCCATACAGAGAGTGTTGAGGACAGCGGAGAAGATTATAGGAAGCTCACTTCCCGTTATTCAGGATACTGCTTATAAGTGCTATGTGCTTAGTGCTCAAAGCATTGTTAGAGACCCCACACACCCACTTCACGGTCTGTTTCTGTTGCTCCCCTCTGGGAGGAGGTTTCGAAGTATTTCTAGCAGGACTACTAGATTCTGTAACAGCTTTGTTCCTTATGCCATTCATCTGGTAAACTCACAAGATTCGTTTTTCTCACCATGTACATGTATACATCCAGACTGGACTGTGAGGTTTCTCTATGTAATATATATGTGTGTGTGTGTGTATGTTGGTATATGCAGATGTGGGCTGCACTTTTGTTGGCAAGGGATTTGCTGGTTGCTTCGCTTGCATGCATTGCTTTGGGGCGGAAACACAGCTTTAAGCAGGCAGCTAATCGACTCAGGCAGCTCCGGTGAGTATAGCAGGGCGGCACAGAACTCACCTGGACAGCCTGGGTGGGGGGAAAGTTAGTTATTTAGGGAAAGCATAGCACAAAAGTGGGCGGGTGGGCCCAGCCTGAGATCATAGCTAGGGGGTTGCCTGAACCTCACCAACCACCCAGCAGCCCACCACTGGATATATGCACAATGGTTTATTCTTTGAGAGCTGAATGCAATGAAATTTCATTTTAATGTATGCTAATTAATGTACATTTAACATGATAATAAAGCTCTACTCTATCTACTCTACCCTACTCTACTCTACTCTACTCTACTCTACTCTACTCCACTCCACTCCACTCCACTCCACTCCACTCCACTCCACTCCACTCCATATGGCAGGGTCAATGAATATTTCTCTATGCAGCATTGTTCTTTGAGATGCCCTACTATATCCTTACTAATCTGATTGTTCATCTCCTTTCTGTGTTCAGCATTCTTTTTGCCGATGTGAAAGGATTCACCAATCTCTCTACAACATTATCGGCTCAAGAGCTGGTTCGGATGCTGAATGAACTTTTTGCCAGATTCGATCGCTTAGCACACGTGAGTCCAGCTGCTGATGCCTTTTTTTTCTTTTCTGAACTTTAGTAGAGAAGCTGTGATGGAAAAAGAGAAATGCATACGCAAAGAGACACTTTTTGGGGTCTTAAATCAGACTTGCACATTTGGTGACTCATGAGGCCAAATGCAAAATGTTGTTTTTAGTTTCTGAGTGCATCTCAATGTTTCAGTCTAAGGCAGGGAAAACTAACATGTGCTTGGCAGGCTGTACGTAGTTGTTGCACAGTCTTGAAATATTCCTGATTTTAATCTTGCTGCGTTCCTTCCATTTATTTGCCTAGCTAAATTGCCTTTTTTCTTCATTTGAAGCAAATGTTTCCTTCCCATCTCATGTTTCATGAAATTAAATAATGTTCCTTGAGAAACCGATTCAAATCAGGACAGGTAGCAAGTTGTATTCTCCATTTCTCCTGACGTACCCAAATCTCTGGACTCCTTAGTGGGAAATAAATGCTTTTAATATTGTGGTCTATTTGCATAATCTTAAAGGGAAAACTGAGTTTGATTGGTGAAAAGTCTTTCCTGCAATCAGGACCATTTTGTAGAGCAAGGGTCTTGAAACTTGGCAAGTTTAAGACTTGTGGACTTCAACTCCCAGAATTCCTGAGCTAACATGACTAGAGGAGGAATTTTGGGAGTTGAAGTCCACAAGTCTTAAAGACCCCTGCTGTAGACCAGCTCCTTTAAGACGCATGGACTTAACTCCCAGAATTCCCCAGCCAGCATGGCTGGCTGGGGAATTCTGAGAGTTGAAGTCCACGCATCTTAAAGTTGTCAAGGTTGAAAAACACTGCTGTAGACACTAAACAAGAGGGTTGAATCTGGCAAAGAAGCTAAGTTTGTTATCAACAAATGGTACAAGTAACCTCCAGATCTGAGAAATGATCAGTAAGAAGACTGTTACTACTAAAGGATAGAAAAGGGAATCACAATGTTTAAGCCCTGGGACTATTAGAGGACTTGATTGCTTGATTGACAAAGAGTTGTCCTCTTCTCCAGTTTCTTTGGAGATATGATATCCTCTTTTCTTCATTTTTCTTCAGAACCAAGTGTCCTAACTGAGATTAATAGCATACTCTTAGGGTCTGCCAAGAATTTGGTATATCAGTCCTGGTTGAAAGACTCTGCAAAATTGATAATAGGGCATAGGACATAGGAAGAACAATCCATTATTTCCTAGCCTGGGGAGAGAGAGAAAAAAAGAAAGAAAGAAAAAGTTCTAATTGGTTTCTTGGAATAAACAAATGCTGCAGAAATCCATTGGCTTTATTCGATGTCAACTTTTCTTGCTTATTTCCTGATAGGTGATGTTGTATTTTTCATATGTTTATCAAGTTTGTGTTAAAATCATGCCTGGGAATTTTGTTATAGGTTGTAAGAATTTGAAAAAAAGAATCAGTTTAAGCCAAAACTTACCTAGTCCTTTAATTTGTTCATTATTTTGAAGCTCAAAAACAGGACATGAATTCAACTTCCTCTCATCTAGTTGTTATAGTCTGACTCATCAATGATTATCAAGACTGATATTGTTAAAAGGCTATTCTTCATAAATTAGTCTCATACTCCTTTGTGACTATTAAAATTCTCTAACGCAAAACGCAACACCTCTTCTCGTGGAGAATTCCGCCATTTAATTATACTGTGCTCTGTGTAAAAAGCCTTCTTTTAGTCTGACATGAATCTTCTGACCTTCAGAATTGTTCTCCGCAACAATAATGTACATTAAGCATCCATCTTCAAGGGGGACACTCTCCTCGATGAGATTTTCATGCAGAGGTGAGATGTTCTCTTGAATTCTATGGATCAAAAGCTAAATCATCAGCCTAAATATTCAAGAACCCCTTAAGCTGCAATGATTCCTGTTTCATCTTCATTCATTAAGTCATGACATGACCGAGCTATTACTAATCCATCATATTAAATGAGTAAATATTCAATGAACGAAAAACATCACTGAGTCATCGAGGAATGCAGCTGCTATGGTGAACTAATTTTAGTGGGTTCAATCTGGCATGCTTGTCCTGTGGTTAGCGGCCCACAGCTTTGGTTATCAGAGTTTATGATTTTCCTCTCCGTGTTCTGTTCACGTAAGGGGAAGCTGGAAGTGCAGAAAACTGTATTAACCAAAGAAGAAGAAGAACGTGCTATCTGCTATGTTTGCAGGCTTAGCTGATAATTGGCGGTGGTGATATTTGCATCTGCTATTGTGATCCTCAACTTATGATCACAGTTGGGCTCAGAATTTGGGTTGCTAAGAGATGCAGTTGTTAAAGGGATCATCAGAATAACAGAATAACAGAGCTGGAAGGGGGCTTGGAGGTCTTCTAGTCCAACCTTTTGGCACAAAACCCTTACCACTTGAGACAAATGACTGTCCAGTCTTTTCTTGAAAACCTCCAGTGTTGGAGCATTCACAACTTATCGAGGCAAGTTGTTCCACTGATTAATTGTTCTAATTGTCAGGAAATTTCTCCTCAGTTCTAGGTTGTTTCTGGCCTTGATTATTTTCCATCCCTTGCTTCTTGTCCTGCCTTCAGGTGCTTTGGAGAATAGCTTGACTCCCTCTTCTTTGTGACAATCCCTGAGATATTGGAACATTGCTATCATGTCATCCTTCTTTTCTTTACATCACATGGCCAGATCTGATTTTATAGACTTTTTTACTGTGGTCATTAAGCAAATCACATCATCATAATGCAAGTTTCCCCAACTGACTGAGGTTGTCAGAAACTGGCCCAGAATATTGCAAATTGCCACACACGACCACAAGACACTTCAACCAACATAAATGTGAGCAGGTTGCCAAGTGCCCAGATTGTGATCATGTGATGTGTGATGACCCAGAGTATAACACAAACATAATAAAATCCAAAACGTACATAAATGTCTTTTAATGCCTCCAACTTGGCCCCACTGTTCAATAATTCTCAGCTGGAGATAAAACATACTCAGAAATAGTCTTCAAAAGAAAGCAATACAGTCTGCATTTAATGAGCAGATAGAGGTGAAAATAAAAACCAAACAAACTACAATGATGAAATTTCCACAACGGAACAGAAGAAGTATTTACCAAATTCAAGGAGATAACAAGGCATAGTCTGTTGGAAGGACACCAACCAAGATAACCTCAAACCAAAATAAAACACTCTTTGGTCCTCCTCTGACTGCTCAGCCGGCCTCTGCCCTTCCCCACCCTCCTCCACAACCTCCAGAGCCACACTTCCACTCCGTGTCAGCTGTTCCTCCTCTCCCGCTGAGTCAGTCTCCACTAGGGGAGAACAACAAGGGTGGTAGGATGGTTATAACTTCAAGGTCAGGAGATGTCCTTTTTCCAAAGCCATTATAACTTCGAAAAGTCATTAAATGAACAGTTGTGTTGAGGATTACTTGTAGTGTTTTATTTCAAGCAATGGATTTATATCTGGTAATGTGATTTACCATTTATACCTGGTAGCCCTTGTGGACAGCGTGGTGGCCTAGTGGTGAAGACACTTGCCTCCCACTCAGAAGGTTGAGAGTTCAATCCTAGGTAGTGGGAAAGAAAAATATCTGCTGGGAACTCTACATAGGTGTCAAGAAGTGCATCCGGCTAGTAAACTCTCAGCTCTAGCCAGGCACCCCAACTCTACCCCATATTAAGGGATTACATGGTAGTTGAAAGGGAGTGTTTTATATATCTGATGTCTCTTCTAGTTTTCTGCACTTCTGTTATTTTACACAGCATTAGCTCATCTTTGAGTTTCCTCCTCTGAATTTGTTCCTATTATGCTTTGATAGTATTTTAGTACTTTATGGCTTAAGCCATGTTCTAGATCAAAATACATGTGTCACAGATTGTATCTGGTTTGCATACAAGTCACATTCCTTCAGGAATGATAAAACCAAGAAACATGAACACTGGAGGTCCATCAAGTAAACAAGAGAAAATATTTTCTAATATTTTGAGCCATATTCTGATAGAAGCAGATATTTTAAAAAAAATTCATCCCCCTTTTTATGATCATGATGGAATTCTTATGGCCTTTTTTTTTTTTTCAAGCTGCCATTACTACATATAGTGCTGAGACCATCTGGAGATGCATCAGAGCACAGATGGAAATCTGTCATCTTGTGCTGCTAGGCAGTCAGCTTTCCAGGGATTGTAACCTATTCTAGAGCAGGCTCATAGACATACATATTTGCATCATTTTTCTCTGGAAGATATCCATTACATTGCACAGGCCAATCCAATGTTTATTATGGTCTAATAGAGGATAAGGAGGATAGAACAGTTGTCCTTATGCTCAGGTGGCACAGTGGTTCAGCAGTTAAGGCTTGACTGGGCTTGTCTGCTGGAAAGCCAGCAGCCCAGGTTCAAAATCTGAATGCCACATGATGGAGTGAGCTTCCATCCCTTGCTGCAGCTCCTGCTAACCTAGTAGTTCGAAAGCATGCAAATGGGAGTAGATAAATAGGTACCACTTCAGTGGGAAGTTAACAGTGCTCCATGCTGTTATGCTGGCCATATGACCAAGGAAATGTCTTCGGACAGAGCTGGCTCAATGGCCTCACATGGAGATGAGCACTGCAATGACCAGCAGAGTAAAATCCTCCGGGACTCCTTTTCCTTTACTTTCTTCTCTTCTATTAGATCAGAATAGAAGTTCGATTCTGTCCAATGTAATATTCCCAGTCTTTCTAGATTATGAAACACGCATCACATTTTGGAATTAACAGGGTTAGGAGAGATAACATAAAGTACTACTACTACAACATCTTAGGCCTCAGCCAAAATTTTTAAAAATTCTTACAGTATCATTTTTTAAAAAGCATTATTTTTTGTCCTTTGTTTCTAGACTGCCAAGAAACTGTTGTTTACAGTAGACTGAATGCAGTGTAATTTAAATGGGGCAACTCCTAGATGACTTTGACTAAATTTACATCATCATTGATCATCTTCATTATCACCTCTAGATAAATCAGTCAGAGCCAGTTTGGCTAAAACTTTGTTCCAAATAAGAACTGAAGAGCCAGTTTTTGTCTAGTAGTTAACATGCCTGGTTAAAAGACTGGAGACCATGAATTCTAGTCCCACTTTAGGCATGAAAACTGATTGGATGACTTTGAGCCAATCCTCAGGAGACTGAGTACTAGTCCTACCTTAGGCAGAAAGCTAGCTGGGTGACTTTAGGCCAATTTCAGTGAGTTCTCAGTTCTGCTTTAGGCATGAAAGCCTGCTGCGTGACTTTGGACCCCCCCCCCCTCTCTCTCTCTCCCCCTCTCCCTCTCTCCCTCCCCCCCTCTCTCTGTCTCTCTCTCCCCAGTAAAGGCAGATCCAAATAAATAAATAAAACAAAGTGGGATAACAACAGCAGCTCTTCATTGCCCAAGGACATCACCAATACCTTGTAATCTGACAACTCTAATCTGCATTCAGATTGCTATCTTCATCATTGTCCAACCACTAGATTCCTCTCATTATAATCTAAACATGGGGAAATTTTCCTTTTGAGTTGTGATATGGTTAACCTAGGAAGGGTGTCAGATCTTGAAAGTAATTAAGATGCTGTTCTTTGTGGAAATTAGCAAGACCTTTTCTTTCTGGATACAGAAAGGCATGCATTCATCCTTTTCTCCCAATGTTCATCTTTTCCATATTTTTTTTGTATAAAGAATTTCAGAGCTGCTATTCTTTTTTCTTTCTTTTTATTTTAATCTACAGGAACATCACTGCCTTAGAATTAAGATCCTGGGAGATTGCTACTACTGTGTATCTGGGCTTCCTGAGCCACGGCAGGATCACGCTCACTGTTGCGTTGAGATGGGACTCAGCATGATCAAAACCATCAGGTAACTTGTGTTTGGTTTTATTGCTGCCCTCACACTGTGCTACCATCTGTGTTTTTACAGCTCTTAACATGGGACAATAGAATATTTTGTAGGAACTTTGTCTTACCCACTTAAAAAAAACAAAACATTAAAGCAGAAACATGGATTAGGATTGTGTACTGAATTCCACAATGGAGTATCTGCCCTGTTGCACTGTATGGTCCTGAATGTTGGGCAGCAACAATAGGGACGGAAAGCTCTCCCCATGCCATGGAAATGCGAAGGCTCTCAGCTCTGAGATTCAGCTGCCAAAAAATGAAAAGGGTGGGTGGTGGTGGTGGAGGAGTTGGAAAGTTCAAGGTTATTCTGTATGTCGCATTAAGAAATTCCAGCTGCAGTTAATTGGTTCTCATGATTAATGAAGTGTAGAAGTGGGAGGAGAGAAGGTGGATTTTGTGTAACTTGTGAAAATGACTTTCACTTTTGGAAATGCCATAGAAATACCAGAGCTGTTCCTAATAAATCAGTTGGAGATTATATTGTCTCAGAGTGACTGGTTACCATGGATAATTTCTGGATGCCTAACGAAGGCTTTGTTGGATATCGGGCATCTCCCTTCTTGACCACATCACAAATAACACCATTCGACAACATTTTGGTGTGCCACCAATTATAGAGAAGATGAGAGAAGGCCAATTCCCCTGGGTAGGAATGTCCAGAAAGCAGCATCTTCAGAGGTGGTATTCAGCAAGTTCTGATCAGTTCTGGAAAACTGGTAACAGAAATTTTGAGTCGTTCAGAGAACCAGCAAATACCACCTATGACTGGCCCCCCCATCTATTCTCTGCCTCCTGAGTCCCAGCTGATCAGCTGGGTCATCTTTGGTTGCCCTGCACAGGAGAATGGAGCTGGAAAGCAGGTTAGTGGGGTGGGGAGGGAATGGAGATTTTGCAGTATCCTTCCCCTGCCAGGCCCACCAAGCCACACTACACCCACCAAGCCACGCCCACAGAACCAGTAGTAAAATAATTTGAATCCCACCACTGAGCATCTTCCATCTTGGCCAAGACTGCCTACCAACAGGAAGTCAATGGCCAGTGACCTTGCGGGTATCCAAAACAGAGATGGCAAGAGACCATCAACAAAGATATGCAAGCTCCTGGAGGAGGAGGAGGAGGAGGAGGAGGAAAGGAAGGAAGGAAGGAAGGAAGGAAGGAAGGAAGGAAGGAAAGAAAGAAAGAAAGAAAGAAAGAAAGAAAGAAAGAAAGAAAGAAAGAAAGAAAGAAAGAAAGAAAGAAAGAAAGAAAGAAAGAAAGAAAGAAAGAAGACACCCTTCACTCCTCAAAATAAAAGCACGATTTCTGCTTTACATTGTTCTAAGAACTTGCCATGACTACAAAAGGGAATAAAAAATAGCTTTCTAATATGGTCTATAAAAATAATGTTCCATAAATTGTCATTCTATGTATTTATGGCTGATAAAATAAGCCCAATTTTATGTATGTATGTATGTATGTATGTATGTATGTATGTATGTATGTATGTATGGTATTCAGCTTTGTTCAGGTATTTTCCCACGTCATTGTAGTTGTGCTTTTAAAGTTGTAGCAACGTTTCGGCAGAATCTCATCTGCCATCATCAGGCTTCTGTATTGTGTTCGTCTATATATATATTTGTGTGTGTGTGTGTATGTATGGTATTCAGCTTTATATATGTGTGTGTGTGTGTGTGTGTTGTGTGTGTGTGTAGGTCTAGGTGTGTTCGGGTCTTTTCCCGTGTAAGATTAAGAGTATCTTGGCGACGTTTCAGCTAGGTCCCACTCGCCATCCTCAGGTTGGTGCTTTCGGCTTCGTGCCAGTGCAAGCAGTGTGTGATCGGAGCTGCCGTCACTCTATAAATACTGGTGGGGGGTCTGGTGTGCTGGGCTGGTTGGCTGCGTTGCTGCCTCTTGATTGGTTGATGGAGTTGATGTTGGTATAATGGGCTGTGTGATGGCCTTGTGAGTTTTGTTGTGGAGATATCCTGGATCTTGTGCTGTAATCTCCTGGGTCGTTTGTTTTGTAGTGATCTTTTTTCCATTAGCCTCCCATGTTTTAATGGCTTGGGTAATGGGTTGTGGGATGGCCTTGCGAGTTCTTTTGTTGTGGTATCCTTGGTCCTGCATTGTAATCTCCTGGGTCGTTTGTGTTTTGATCTCTTTTCCATTAGCCTCCTGTGTTGTAATGGCTTGGGTAACGGGTTTTGTGATGACCTTGTGAGTTTTATTGCTGTGGTATCCTTGGTCTTGTGCTGTGACTTCCTGGGTCATTTGCTATGTTGCAACTTCTTGAGTTCTTGTGGTGTAATTTCCTGAGTTTTCTGATGTGATATCCTGAACAGATGGCTGTGATGTAGCATTCTTGGTTTTGGTCTGGCTTCAAGTTTGGGGTCTGGGTCTGTGTTCTTGGCGTGTGTCAGCTTGTTTGCTTTTGGGGTCGGGGGTGCGACAGCATGGTCTGGTTTCTGGACGGTGGTTGTCCTTCGTTTATAGGATGGGTTTGGGCCTGGGTCTGATGAGGGGGATTGGCGGTGGTGTCCCATGTTGTTTTGGGTCTGGTGTTGGTTTTCATGGCTGGGACTCATTTGTTGGTGAGGGCTAGTTTCCAGATGTCTAATAGGTGGGAGGTATCATCCCGTTTATTCATGTTATGGGGGTGTTTCTCTATTTGGATGGCTTCCCTGATTATTCTCTTGCTGGAATGTTCAGTGTTGGATATTAATTTGGTTCTTCGAAATTAATTTCATGTCCTGTGGCTTTAAGGTGCTGGAAGAGGGAGGAAGTATTTTCTTCTCTTCTGACTGCGTTTTTGTGTTCTGCGATGCGTGCATTTATTCTCCTGTTGGTTTGTCCAATGTATGTGGCTGGGCAATTGTTGCATGGTATTTCATAAACTCCTTGGTTTTCTAGTTGGATCTTGTCTTTGGGGTTTCTTAGGATGTTGGCTATTTTTGGTCAGTGCCGAAGGATGTCCTGATATTGTGTTTGTGGAGAATTCTGCTGATTTTGTCTATGGTGCCTTTGATGTAGGGGAGGAGCGCGATACTGTTGTCTTGTTCTGTGTCTTGGTTTTTTGGGGGTATCTCTCTTCGGATTAGGTTGGTAATTGTGTTTCTTTGGAATCTGTTGGAAATTAATACGTTAGTGAAGGTGTGTAGTTCTGTTCTCAGGTGGTCTTTGTCAGCTAGGCGTTTAGTTCTGGAGATGGTCTTGGCTACGGACTTGATCTGTGCAGGGTGGTGATGGGATTGTGCATTTAGGTAGTGGTTGGTGTGTGTTTTTTTCCGGTAGATGGTGTGTCCTAGGGAGCCATTGGGTTTTTTCTGACAAATTAGATATATTAAAACCAGCCTCCTCCAAGGATAATCTCAATTTAACTAATGAGCATCTCAAGGGCCTACTATCCCAAATAAATTTCCTAAATAACCTAGTAATGTGGAGAAAAATTGCATTAAGTTTTAACATTAAAACACTTCTAAAGACATCGATCAAATGAAGGACAATATTTATGTTAATAACATTAACCCCATAGGCATAATGGGATCTTAATGCCTCTATTCATATCTGATTCAACTTTCTGAAAGTTTCAGCGTATTTATTTTCACATATTTAGAAATGTTTTGGGGAACATAAAAGTGTTTCATATAATCAGTTTAGAACTGGCAATGGAGGCATCAAAGTGATGGATAGCTTCTGTTTTTTAGGATCAGCACTAAAGGAAAAGTCAAGAAATACATCATAGACTGTGATGAACCGTAGCCTCTCAAAATAACCCAAAACATACATTAAAGTCGGGTAATGCCTTCAACTTAACTTCACTGTTTTATTAGGCACAGTTTAAAGTCACAAAACTAAATAATGAGGCAAAAGGAAACCAAAAACAAACCGCTTTGACAAGAGTTCTGAAGCAAGCCAAGATAATTAATCATACATTCCAGGAAGATAAAGAGGAGAGTCCATGGGAAGACCGCTAACAAAGATAAACCTCTTTCAAAGGAAACACTAAATTTGACTCCAGCAATTCTGACTAGCAGTTACACACTTATATACATAGCTCCCAGCTGCAAGCCACGAGGAGGATTATGGTAATCTCCTCCTGAGTAGACCTCACTTTTCCCTGATCCTCTCCTCCCTGCGTGACCTAGGATGGATAGGGGATGGGCCTGGATCCTCCTCTGACTGCTCAGCCGGCCTCTGCCTTTCCCCAGCCTCCTCCACCACCTCTGGAGCCACACTCCCACTACCTGTTGGCTGTTCCTCCTCTTCCTCAGAGTCAGTCTCCACCAGGGGCATGACACAGACTCTCAATGCCTTGGTATAGCATATTCCAGTGCTGTGACGTGTCTATATTTACCAAGATCAGAGTGTCGGGACAAGAAGTAAAAGATGAATGCTTATCAAAGCAATTCAATTTAGAGTTAAGGATAAATTTCCTGAAAGTGAGAACAATTGATCAGTGGAAGGACTTGCCTTAAGAAGTTGTAGGTCTGTGATGGCAATCCTATGGCATGCGTGCCAGAAGTAGCACGCAGACCCACTTCTGCCTGCACCCAAGAGGTCGCCTGAAAGAGCCCCACTGTGCATGCACACACACAACCCACCTGACAGCTGTTGGGTATCTGGTGCACATGCGCGGGGGCAGGGTTGTGCGAGAGACACGCATGCATGCGTGGAGTCGTGGGGCACACGGGGTGCTCTTGTGGGCATGTGCAGAGATGCATGGTGCATGGGGGGTCTTGCTCCCATGCACAGAGACTCATGGCACACAGGGGGATCACATGCGCGTGCACAGGGGGCTTGGGGGGCCATGTGCATTGCCTTCTGGGTGCTGGCATGCGAAAACATGAGCGTGCATGCAATTTTCAGCAAAAAAAGGTTAGCCACCACTGTTGTAGGTGCTCTATCACTGGAGTTTTTCAAGAGAAGACTGGAGAAGCCATTTGTTCAGAATGGGGTAGGGTCTATTGCCGTGAACATTTGGTTAGGTTAGATAAGACCTGCAAGGTTCCTTCCCAGCCTATTATTCTATGTTCTGTGTTATAACGAGTAAGTTAGAATTAGAATAGCAGAGTTGGAAGGGACCTTGGAGGTCTTCTAGTCCAACTCCCTGCTTGGGTAGGGCACTCTGTACCATTTCAGACAAATGGTTGTCCAAGCTTTCCTTAAAAATGTCCCGTGTTGGAGCATTCACAACCTCTGCAGGCAAGTTGTTCCACTGATTCATTGTTTTCACGGTCAGGAAATTTCTCCTTAGTTCTAGGTTGCTTCTCTCCTTGATGGAGTTTCCATCCGTTGCTTTTTGTCCTGCCTTTTGGTGCTTTGGAGAATAGAATAGAGTAGAGTAGAGTAGAGTAGAGTAGAGTAGAGTAGAGTAGAGTAGAGTAGAGTAGAGTAGAGTAGAGTAGAGTAGAGTAGAGTAGAGTAGAGTAGAGCAGAGCAGAGCAGAGCAGAACAGAATTGTTGAATGGTTACAGGAAGTGGGCATGGCTAGTCTAGTAAAGAGAAGGACCAGGGGAGACATGATAACAGTGTTCCAATATTTGAGGGGCTGCAACAGAGAGGAGGAGGGGGTCAAGCTGTTTTCTAAAGCACCTAAAGACCAGACAAGGAATAATGCTTGAAAACTGATCAAAGAGAGATTCAACTGGGAAATAAGGAGAAACTTCATGACAGTGAGAACAATCAACCAATGGAACAGAAATTTCCCTCAGAAGTTGTGGGAGCGCCATCACTTGAGACTTTCAAGAAGAGATTGGACTGCCATCTGTCAGAAATGGTGTAGGGTCTCCCACTTGGGCAGGGGGTTAGAGTAGATGACCTACAAGGTCCCTTCCAACTCTGATTCTCTGTTATCTGTTGCCTGTCACTGTTCTGATTCTCCAAAACCAAGAAATAGAAATAAAAAGGTTTGATTAAATGCTTTTAATTCTGACAGGCCTGGAAACATTGGCACAAAGCAACCAAAACAAAGGCAGCAAAAACCGTTGCTGCTTTCCTGCCTACTACTTAACCCCGACCCCTGCATGCGCCTGCCCCACCCACATGGCTGTTGTACTTCTAGAGAGACCTGAGAGGCCTGGAATCTTTCTGTTGGGCCTAGTTCTTTCTTCTGCTGCCAGCCTGTTCTCCAGCTGATTGTCGGCCAGCTGCTTCTTCTTTGTCCACCTCCCATACTGTGGGAGGTTTTTCATATGTAGGCCTCCCACCCCCCCCCCCCCCCCCGAATGGCAACCCCGAGACGGTCCGCCGGAGGCTCGCTGTTTTGAGGGTTGACAGATGCAACCACCATCTGTCTTCTTGGAAGACAACTTCAGCAGGTATCCCAAACACTAAATGTAACTCTTGGTTGAGAAATATTGTCCATTCCTTAGATAGTTGTCCATCTTATATATATATATCATGATGGTTCTGTAATTTTAGATCGAATTCTCTCTCTTCTCTGTCTGATGTCTGTCTATCCATCCGTCTATCCATCCATCCATCCACCCATCCATCTAGCCCTAGATGGATGACTGGATAGGTAGATAGATCTCATCTAATTGAATTGAATCTTTTCGTTTTTAGGTACGTTCGGTCAAGAACAAAGCATGATGTGGACATGAGGATTGGCATACACTCTGGATCCGTGCTGTGTGGGGTCCTGGGTCTGCGGAAATGGCAATTTGATGTTTGGTCGTGGGATGTAGACATTGCGAACAAACTTGAGTCAGGTGGAATACCTGGGTAAGTGGAATCTGCTCCAATGACACCATCATGTTCTAGATTTTGAGTCCTACTTTTACAACAGGAATACTGAAATTTGGGCTCTTCCCAGGCCCTGTCTATGTGGAATAAAAACTCCTGCCTCTCTTAGATCTCTTGGTTATAAGCATTGTTTTCTTGGATTTGCTCATCATCCTGATAAGAAAGGGTTTTCTCAATCAAGCTTTATGCCAACAGTGGTCTACAGCAGAAGTCCCTGAACTTAGCAACTTTAAGAATTGTGGACTTCAAATCCCAGGATTGAGGAATGGCTGAGGACTTGTGGGAGTTGAAGTCCACAAGTCTTAAAGGATGGAGAACCTTGATCTACAGGGATGGCCTAGTGGTGAAAGTGTTGGACTCATTCTGTGAAAATCCAACTCTCAGGCCTGGAAACTCACTGGGTGGCTTGGAAGAAAATCTTGATGTGTCATTCAGCCCATGCAACTTCTAGTTGCAGAAACATGGGCATCTTATGCAGTGGTGGGATTCAAAAAAATTTACTACCAGTTCTGTGGGTGTGGCTTGGTGGGCGTGGCATAGCTTGGCAGGTGTGGCTAGGCAGGCATGGCAGGGAAAGGATACTCCAACATCACCATTCCCACCCCACTAACCTGCTTTCCAGCTCTGTTCCCCTTTGCAGGGCAACCAAAGAAGACCCAGCCGATCAGCTGGGACTCAATGGGAGGCAGAGAATAGATGGGGGCGGGGCCAGTCAGAGGTGGCATTTGCCAGTTCTCTGAACTACTCAAAATTTCCACTACCGGTTCTCCAGAACTGGTCAGAACCTGCTGAATACCACCTCTGATCTTACGTACGTGGCTTGAAGTTCCTGAGATCTAGCCTCTACATAGCTTCCCTTCTTAAACTTTACAGATAGCTCTTGACTTATGACTCTAATGGAACTTTTCCATTATGGTTGTAAGCTGTGATGGTTCTGATTTTACAACCTGTTTTTGTGGTGTTAAGTGAACGCCTCGATCATTAAATAAACCCATGGAGTGGTGCAGTGGCCTAGTTGTGGAGCTCTTGCTTCACAGTCAGGAGGCTGTGAGCTCGATCCTAGGTAGAGGCAGATATTTATCTCTCTGGGCACAATGAGAATATATCTGCTAAATATAACCCCGTATTGGTAACAGGAAGGGCAAACGGCCAATAAATGCTCAGCTCCATTCAGTTGCCTAGACTCTACCCCAGCATCAGTATTCTACTGGTTCAACCTAGTTCGGGCAAAGCAGTAGTAAAAAAATGCTACGATTTGGCCAAACCGGTAGTAAAAAACAGCTATGGGTTCGGCCAAACTGGTATTTCTTTTTTTTTTCTCCTGATGATCAGCTGTTCTGATGATCAGCTGTTCTGGAATCCCCCTCACTGTTTTACTGCTTTGCCCAGGAGGCTTCCCTGAGGCCCAGGAGGCAAAAAAAAACAAACCTGGAGCACAGAGGGGGGGGTGTTGCAAAAATAAGTCACGCCCACTCAGTCACATGGTGATGCCCACCTAGCCACTCCCACCTAGCCATGCCTACAGAACCAGTAGTAAAAATATTTGCATCCCACCCCTGCCTGGCATGTTTGGCATAACCCAGTTTCCAGCCAAAATATTGTAAATTATAATCATGTGACTAAGAATTATAATCATGTGACACTAAGAATGGCCATAAATGTGGACCAGTTACTTAAATACATACACACATACACACATACACACACACACACACACACACACACACACATATCACAGAGGACCATGGATTTATTAAACATCTTTTCTAATCAGGGAAGTCAGTGACTGTCATAGAACGTTTTCATAGAACATCAAAGTTGGATCTTGGAGGTCTTCTAGCCAACCATATCCTCAAGCATAAGACCCTATATCATTTCACACAAATGGCTTTCCAGACTCTTCTTAAAAGCATTTAATGATGGAACACCCACAACTTTTGAAGGCAAGCTGTTCCACTGGTTGATTCACTGTCAGAAAATGTCTTAAGTTCTAGCTTGCTTCTCTTCTTGGTTAGTTTCTGTCCGTTGTTTCTTGTCTTTCCTTTTGGTGTTTTGGAAAATAAGTTGACCCCCTCTTCTTTGTGGCAGGCCCTCAAATATTGGAACACAGCTCTTGCGTCACCTCTACTCTTTTCACTAGAATAGACAACTCCTGCAATTGTTCTTCCCATGTTTTCATATGTCACTCTGGAGAAGACCGCTATGCAATCTATAGTGCAGAGTTTGCAAAATTCTCTTTAAAATCCCATACTCACAGAACCAAAAACACGACTCTGATATAAAATTCATCTGGCTATGCTGCAGGAGTAAATACACAATTTTATAATAATGCTCTGAAGTATACTAGCGTCAAGACATTTGAGTGCTTGATCTTCTGTTCAGGGATATATCCATTTTTCTTTCTGGCATAATTCATAATTCTGGACAAAGCCCTTTATCTCCCTGCTGGCCAGACTCAACTGCATGTCACTGATCTCTGCGTATCAGAAATGTTGCAGTCATCGGAACAAGAATGTCTCGCTGCAAAAGATGCTGATAGCTTAATAATACAGCCCAGGCAGAAAACTGCCATATGCTCAAAATTACATAGCCCTCCAGCCCCGTTTCAGCGTTACTGCCAGTAACAATGCAAAAGTGGTTCTTATCTACATAGGATCATAATAAAATCAATAAAAACCACTAATAAAAATAAAATCCAGTTTAATCTAGTGGTTAAGGCACCAGGGTAGACAACAGGAGAAAGTGGGTTGTAGTTCTGCCTTAAGCATGAAAGCCTTCAGTTATTTATAAAAAATAATAAAGGAAGGGTAATTTAAAACAAATAAATTAACAATATTAGAAGATCAACACCAAGTAGGTAGGTCCCATGTCACGATATCTCCTAATGCCAGTTTTTAATCTATTTTCCAAAAGCCATGTTTGGATCACCCTACAGTGTGGTAGAAAATGGTCCCAATCAGTGGTGGGATTCAAATTGTTTTACCATTGATTTGGTGGGCGTGGCTTGGTGGGCGTGGCTTGCCTAACGCATGCGCTCAGTTTTCCTCACACCAGGCGAGACCTGCAGAGCCAATCAGCTGAGAGGATAAAGAAAAGAAAAGCGCAGTGGCATGTGGGAGGACCAATCCTGCGTTTTTCTCTCCTTTTTCCTCCGTGAGACATTTTTTCTTCCCCTCAGAGGGATTTTTTTAATACCTGTTCGGCCGAACCAGTCTGAACCGGTAGCATAACCACCACCGGTCCCAATCCTAGAAAGGACTCTTCACAACTTTAAAATCCTCTGTTCACAGTCTGGGATCGTATTTGATTTGCAGAAAGTCTACCTACCACAAACGACCACAATGAATACCTCTTCTCTATCCAGGACATGCGCCACTTTTAAAATGTTTTGTTTTGTTTTGTCTTTATGAATTTTTTTTTTTTTTTTTTGGAATAAAGTAAAATTTAAAGAGGAAATAAAATGAAGTGGTTCTTTGATCAGCCCAGGAAGTGCTGAAAGAAAGAAAAACAAACAAACTGCAGAATGTTTCATATTGGCATGTGAGGCATTTTTGCTGTTAAAAAGGAAGAAACTTCAAAAGTTTTCTTACACCATTGTAACAGTGGTAGGATTCAAAAAAATTTACTACCAGTTATGTGGGCATGGCTTGGTGGGTGGGACTTGGTGGGCATAGCAGGAGAAGGATGCTGCAAAATCTCCATTCCCTCCCCACTCCAGGGGAAGGTTAGTGCAAAATCCCATTCCCTCCCCACCCCACTAACCTGCTTTCCAGCTCCGTTCTCCTATGCAGGGCAACAAAAGAAGACCCAGCCGATCAGCTGTGAATTGGGAGGCAGAGAATAGATGGGGGCGGGGCCAGTCAGAGTTGGTATTTGCAATCAGAGTTGGTATTTACTCAAAATGTCCGCTACTGCTTCAACAGGACTGGTCAGAACCTGCTGAATACTAACCATACTGTACTTCACTGCACTGCACTGCACTGCACTGCACTGCACTACACTACTCTACACTACACTACTCTACACTGCACTGCACTACACTACTCTACACTACACTACATTACACTACACTACACTACTCTACACTACACTACACTACACTACTCTACACTACTCTACGCTACATTACACTGCACTGCACTACACTACTCTACACTACACTACACTACTCTACACTGCACTGCACTACACTACTCTACACTACACTACACTACACTACTCTACACTACTCTACGCTATGCTACACTACTCTATACTACGCTACGCTACGCTACTCTACACTACGCTACACTACACTACACTACACTACTCTACACTACACTACACTACACTACACTACTCTACACTGCACTGCACTACACTACTCTACACTACACTACACTACTCTACACTACGCTACGCTACGCTACGCTACGCTACGCTACTCTACACTGCACTACACTACACTACTCTACACTACGCTACACTACTCTACACTGCACTGCACTACTCTACACTACACTACACTACTCTACACTACACTACACTACACTACTCTACACTACACTACTCTACGCTACGCTACACTACTCTACACTACGCTACGCTACGCTACTCTACACTACACTACACTACACTACTCTACATTACACTACATTACACTATTCTACACTACACTACACTACACTACTCTACACTACACTACTCTACACTACACTACACTACACTACTCTACACT